GCCCTGGCCTGGTGACGGGAATCCACACCACTCACCTATGGGACTCATCATACTCTGGGCAGCAGACGTTACTCCTCCCATTTGACAGAAAGCTGACACAACTTGCACGGGGTTAGAGTGCGCGTCTGGATGGGATGTGCAAGAGCTGGATTTGAATCCAAGTCTGCTGAGCCCACGGCCTCGTTCCTTTCCTCTTCAGCCCCATCCCAGCAAGAAGGAGACTCTTCCCCAGGTCACATAACCAGGAAATATTATCCTTGTAACTCCTGGCCAGGGTCTGTTCTCAACAGGGGGAAGAGCTTATCTCTACAAGGCCCTCCCCTCCCAGAAGCTGCTGATGGGCCAGAAGCCATGTCTGAGAACTGCATCTCGGTTTTGGACCACCCACACAAGTCTGGTGCAAAAGAAACACAAGGTCCAGGGAGGGGGAAAGGGGATTCTGTGTGAAAGCTAAGGCAGCCAGGCAGGAATCTTGTGGAAACTTGTAAAAACCAAACAATAAAGCATGCATTTGCAAAAGAAACTGCAAGCCTATAAGAGCTGGTTTGAAAGTTTTTAACGGGGCACAGTTGGCTGGTATATATCCCATAGGAACCTGTGTCTCCAGTGAAGTTTCTAGATAAAGATGGTGTTTCAGGAGAAGATTACATTAAAGAGCAGGTTTTTTTTTTTTTTTAAAGATTTTATTTACTTATTTGAGAGGGAGAGAATGAGAGATAGAGAGCACGAGAGGGAAGAGGGTCAGAGGGAGAAGCAGACTCCCTGCTGAGCAGGGAGCCCGATGCGGGACTCAATCCCGGGACTCCAGGATCATGACCTGAGCCGAAGGCAGTCGCTTAACCAACTGAGCCACCCAGGCGCCCAAGAGCAGGTTTTTAATACGATGAAATGGTATGTTCTGGAAGCAAACATCTTCCAGAAATGGCTTCCCACTTACATCGAGAGCTTTGCACATAATAGGTGCCCATTTGTTCAACAGGTGAATCTCATATTTAACTGTATTTGTAAAATGCATTTTATGCCATTTAGACTGTACTCTGCGGGCATCTGGGTGGCTCAATTAAGTGTCTGACTCTTGGTTTCAGCTCAGGTCTTGATCTCAGGGTCATAAGTTCAAGCCCCATATTGGGCTCCACGCTAGGCAAGGAGCCTACTTTAAAAAAAAAAAAAAACCATATAGAGTGTTTGTACTCTGAATCCTCTTTTGGCAAGGAGACCATCATTTCTTGTAACTCCTGGCCAGGGTCTGTTCTCAACAGGGGGAAGAGCTTATCTCTACAAGGCCCTCCCCTCCCAGAAGCTGCTGATGGGCCAGAAGCC